TTTTCCAGGGGAAATTTTATCTGGCATATCTTCTGGCATATTATCTGGCAAATCTTCTGGCATTCTATCTGGCGACGAGTTGGCAAGGCGGAAGTGGAGGTGGAAGTTGATGCAGACATGGTCGAGGAGAAATTGGAGGAGGAGGAGGAGGAGAAGAAGGAGCAGGGGGAGGCGGCGGGCAAGAGCTCTGAAAATCTAACAACCCTCACCTGGCAGGTGGGGAACAATAGGTAGTTTTGTATTTAATTCATAATCTATTGGTTTTCCCACGAAAACAACGATAAGATAACAACTTTCCTTCAAAACGTCAACAGCTTGGTGGAGGTGAAACCACTTACCCTTCAAAATTAACATGAGGGTCATATTTTCAACTGAAAATCATCCATGATGAATTCCCGAAGACAGGTTCAGGAAACCAGTTCCTTTGCAAACCCAATGGTTGTCTCAGGGCGGTGTTTTGGTTGAAGCTGTTGCTTGGTATCATGCATGGGCATCAACTATAGTATACTGAGTACTGATGAATGTTCCAACAAACATGCAATTTGTACGTTTGCTGAACTAATTCCATTGCTTTATGTTCTCCACACTTTTACTTGAAGATCACACCCGTACAGGTTTACAAGCTTCTTGGTTTCAACCGCAAAATGATTCATTGTTATTCCTTGGTTCTTTAGTTTTTGCTATGCGAAGTCCTTCCTATTGGCAACCAAGCTGTTGCACCTTTGGGATGCATCATACCAAACTCATTGTCTATTCAAAATCAAATTCCATAAAGCTGTGCCAAAATGGCAATGGATGGTAGCAGTGGTGCTGTTCATAGAAAACACATCTTCTTGTTACTGGTTGATGTGCTTCTGATTTTTGCGGTATGTTGCATATCTCATTCGGTTTGATGGCAGACCCTCACACTTCCACAATGGACCATCGTTGGACCATGTTATCAAATAATCTAATGTTTTTCTGCACATCCATCTATGCCACTGGTTGGTCGATATGCTGATCATTGTCGATATACTGACCATTATTGACGCGACCATCAATTATTAATGATCATAGGGTTTTATGGAACAATGAGACCCAAATAATAATCTACCATCGCAAGATAATCCCAATGTACATATCTCATGGACACTTTGAGGTATGGCCCAATGAGCGCAACTGAGATTATATCAATAATATCGATCAATAGATGAAGGTCATATTAGGTCATCAAGATATGCATTTGTCAATTCATGGATGGGAACATCTGAGTACCACTTTTTTGTATTATATAGATTATTGCCACATATCTGTGGGATATTATACAGTTACTCAAACCATATGCACATGGATCATGCATGTGCGCCGAAATAGTCACACAAACACATTAACTGGCATGCATTCTACCACATCCTGCACCCTTCAAGCTTTGCCTTGTGGCCCAACCAAGCCTTTCCTTTTCAAAAACCTTGGCAGCGACAGGTGGCTGCAGACCCTTTGCTCCATCTCTGTGTGCTTCATCAAGTTGGACCGACCGGAGCTCTACATGTTTAGGAGGATGCAACTGGCTGAACAGGCTGCCTTGAAACAAGCAAGGAACCCTTTGCAGAAAACAATGATTTTCAATGCCAGAGCTATGGCCTTGCAGGACTGCCCAACTAACAAGATTTTGTTTGTCGCCCAAAAAAGGTTTGAACATATTCACTGTTTGTTTTGATGGATGAATTGTATGTTGGGGGTCTAACCCAGTTTGGTGACCAGGCTGCTGACCCATCGTCGTCTTACAAAGACAACTTCTTGAAAGCTTGCGATGAGTACAACTCTTTTGGTAGTGCTCTGAGCAACAGCAAGATCAGAGTTGAACAAAATCTAGCGCTGAAGCTCTACGGGCTGAAGGTCCATGGGAACCAAACAATGCTTATATTTTTTCAAACCAGTATGTATCGAATGAGTCCAACCCCAAACAAATGAAATTACTTTATGATCCCCACCATGACATTTATCGATTTGTTACTGCCAAATTTTCTGGCATTCTATCTGAGATATCTTCAGGCATTCTATCTGGCATATCTTCTGGCATTCTACCTGTTCTATCTTCTGGCATACCTTCTGGCATTCTATCTGGCATATCTTCTGGCATTCTATCTGGCATATCTTCTGGCATATCTTCTGACATCCTATCTGGCATTCTATCTGGCATATGTTCTGGAATATCTTCTGGCATTCTATCTGGCATATCTTCTGGCATTCTATCTGGCATTCTATCTGGCTGGCATACCTCCTGGCATTCTATCTGGCAAATTTTCTGCATATGTTCTGGCATATCTTCTGCATTCTATCTGTTCTATCTGGCATATCTTCTGGCATATCTTCTGACATCCTATCTGGCATTCTACCTGGCAAATCTTCTGGCATTCTATCTGGCAAACATTCTGGCACTTTATCTGGCATACCATCTGGCATAACTTCTGGCATTCTATCTGGCATATCTTCTGGCATTTTTCTGGCATATCTTCTGGCATTCTATCTGACATTTTATCTGGCATATCTTCTAACATTCTATCTGGCATATCTTCTGGCACTCTATCTATCTGGCATATCTTATGGTATTTTATCTGGCATATCTTCTGGCACTGAGCTGGGATGGTCCCAGGTTGAGGTCCAGCGGTGCACACTGAGCTGGGGAGGTCCCAGGTTGAGGTCCAGCGGTGCACACTGAGCTGGGGAGGTCCCAGGTTGAGGTCCAGCGGTGCACACTGAGCTGGGCAGGTCCCCGGTTGAGGTCCAGCGGTGCACACTGAGCTGGGGAGGTCCCAGGTTGAGGTCCAGCAGCGCACACTGAGATCGGAAGGTCCCAGGTTGAGGTCCAGCGGTGCACACTGAGCTGGGAAGGTCCCTGGTTGAGGTCCAGCGGTGCACACTGAGCTGGGAAGTTGGCGAAGAGCTTGGCGACGAGTTGGCAAGGCGGAAGTGGAGGTGGAAGTTGATGCAGACATGGAAGTTGATGCAAACTGCAGGAGGAGGAGGAGGCGAGGAGGAGGCGGAGGCGGAGGATGAGCGGGCAAGAGCTCTGATAAAATCTAACAACCCTCACCTGGCAGGTGGGGAATAAGGTTTGCGATGGATTCAGTTCATATTTTTAACAACCATACAAATTGGTTTCTGCAGGTTGGCCTTGCAGACAAAGCCTGGGCAAGCATCGAACGACACTTGCACGTGTTCAGGATCGAAAGATCAGGTGTGGGGTCAAAGACCAATTATAATCATGGAATCCACCAAATTGTCCATAGTATTTCGATTTGCTGGAAACAGGTTCAAATATTTACATCCTTGTCCACTATGAGCAAATGCTTAATTCACCTAATAAGGGCCATCAACAACCATTGACAACCCCTGCAGCTTTTGGGCGTGATCACCTTCTATCTGAACGCTGGTTATTGGGAAGCATCGCACGTGGTGCTGATGGTCTGTGGTATTCAGTCCTAGAGGTCACACCCGCGAAACATGAGCTGTTCCTTGACCGGGTTTTGTTCCTACACCAACTCGCTGTGAGCAGGGTTTCAGCTTCAGCGACCAATGCCGTCAGGCTTACAGCCCAGCAGTGGGATGCTGAGGTCGAGTTGGCATGTCTGGGTAGTTGGGTGCTACTCAAGATGGAGGAGGCAAAGGATGATCAGGGTACCGCAATTTTCAGTACTGCTGCCTTGAAGATGTGTCGTGCACGCTTCATCGAAGGGTACTTGGTTTCAATTCATTCCCAATTTATGTTTTTCTACTGAGAGGTTTCCCACAAATACCTTCAAACCCTATGGGATGATTTTCTAAGTTGGGTTAATGCACAGTGGTTTTTCAACCAACTTAGGGACTTCATGGAGGATTTGGGGACGTTTTTGGCTTCGGCTGATCCTTCCTTTGAACCCAAGTCTACGGTCATGTGGATTGAGAGTAGCCCTGAAAGTACTGACAGCAAACGAAACGATGCTGCTTTGGGGGACGCTGAGAAGAAAATCATGCAACTTGAATCTCAACAAAATGATGTGGCTTGGCAGTCGGATACCTTGAAGCTGGCCAAAGATGCATCGATGTGCGCCAAGCTTGTCCGACAAGCTGCATCCAATGAGAGGGCTGATAGATTGGCGAAGATCACCCACATCAAAGAGCAGAACAAGATTGGGGCATCGCTCATCCAAACGTTTACCGACAACCATTGTCAGCATGTGACCCTTACTGCTGGTGATGCTGATGGGAAGCTTTCGCAGGTTCCCAAGTCAAACATTTTTACTCACACCTCCTAAATAGGTTTAACCAAATACACTTGACACTGAATTTGGGGCCACACTGACTCTACCCTTTGGCATCCATCAAACCCATCAGTTTCTGACCGACGTCCTCGGCCACAATGGAGCTGTCATCGTCTGGGTTGATATGATGAAATGTGGCCGTGTTCAGAACAAGCAGTTGGATGAGTTGGCGGGCAGGCTCAAAAAGATTTTGACCAGAAAGTCATCGCATACAGTGGCATTCGTGTTGGCACCACACCTTGTGAGCGCCAAAACTGTCAATGCCACCATTCGTGGAGAGACAAGGTCAGGGTAGCATTGGTTCTCCAATCTGTTTAGGCCCACCATATTAATCCAAAGAGCCCAGCTGAATCTTTGAACAACTGGCACTATTGCTTATCAAATGCAACAGCTATCATCCTACGAACTTGATGTTTAGAATTGGATGGTTTTTACCTCACTTCACCAGACAGAGTTATCTAGGCCAGACTCTTTAATCCCCAGGCTAAACCCTCTGATCCCCTGCAGGAGAATAGAAGATAAACTCGACGCCAAACAATTGGCTTCTTTTCCCTTGTCTTTGAGGTGTGATACACCGCCATCAGCCAAGCGGGTCCCCATGCACTACCCGGCTTGGCTTGTGGTTTGCGACTCCTTTGTCGACCAAAACATTTGGAGCAATTGCCAACTCATGATGGACAGGACCGTGTTTTATGTCATTGAATCCAACAACTAATTATCCAACAGGTGAGTTTTTACAGTGATATGATGTATGTGATGTATGATATGTGGAAATTGTTCCTGTGATACCAGAAAGTGTTATATTATATGATATGGTCCTTTTGATCAACCTTGAACAGTTTGGGGGTGAACTCATATCATGCATCTTTTCCAGGACGACTCGGACGACCGTACCCTTTGCTGCGGAGACACAGTATGTGGTGCCTACTTCTGGCAAAGATGCGTTGCCACTGGCATCAGAAGGGCCCAGGTATCTAGCACCAAATTCATTCAATTCTGATGTTTTTGGCCATCGCCCCAAAAAATGGATTGGTCATCAACAAAATATTTGTCCAAACCACGCCATGGTTTTTCATGGCTTTTCCATGTGAAAGACTTACCCAACCAAGCTAATCATCGTTCATTGAGGTCGATGTCGGACGTGCAAGAAAGTGCGCAAATCTTGGCTGGGCAGCAGCTACCGACTGCAGTGCTCTCATCCATTCTGCATGGAGCAGACTTGGCTGCGAAGCTGGTTGGAGTTGTGAATTTGACTCCATATGATGCCCACCTGGAATCCACATGTGTCCACTGGCAGCAGAACCATGGTTCGGACCATCCTTTGCTGAAATCGTTTAGCATTTCTGATGGTGCTGATGAAGTGCTTTTCAGTGAGCGAGTTTTGGCAAACCAGCTACTGCAGGACTGGTCGATCAAAAAACAGATGCTAATGGTAATACCAAATCAAAAAACAGATGCAGGACTGTTTTTTTTAAAAACCATCTAAGACATGAAATATCATCAGTATGATGATCCATGTCAAGGTGAAAAGACCATTGGTATCTTTAGGAAGTCGAGTTTCTGTCCAGGAGTGGAAGAGCGGCTCACCGATCTTCAAATGCTTTCGTCAATATGATCCAAACTTTGAGCAGAACACCGGCCTGAAATTGGAGGACTACCCACTGAAGTTCTGCCAGGTGACTCATGACCCATCCAAGAAGGGCATCCATCAATATGTCTTCAGTTTGCCTGTCTCGGTTCGATCTCTCTATAGCCGTGACAGTGTGAGGGCAGAAGAATGGCAGAAATTGATCACTGACTTTGACCAAAAGTTTCATTACTTCCTGGATTCGGTGATACTATTTTCATTTACACCCCCCAACTTATTATGTTCATATCAGCAGGTCAACCAGGTCATAGCCCTTGGCAGCTCCCCAGCCCTGTCCTCAGGTTCCACATCACCAGAACCCAGGAGGTCATCGAGGTTCCTGAGGAAGATGTGGGGGAGGCGGTCAAACCATGGGAGCAAGAGCCCCAGGACTTGCAATCTCTCATGGACACCTACATCGTGGAGAACAAGTTCGCTGCAGCCATTCCTGGTGCCATGTTGTATCTCACCAAGGCTGAGACCCGTGCAGGTGAACGTGTTGATGTCACCGCTGACCAGAAGAACAAACTCTTCATGGTTACTAACTTGCAGGTTAACATTCCACCAGTGGATATTGTTGTGTCACATGTGATACCATCATGATTAACAAATCAATTTTCATAAATATCGATCCACTACATGGGATGATTGAAGAAATTTTCCATGATCTCACGGTTAAATCCATTGGACACTCAAACAACATCTATTTTTCCTTCCAGATGACCCACTATCACCTAAGGAGGTATAAATCATGATTATTTCTGACAACCTCAATCCAAACCGAGGTTGCTCACATGGGAGTCTCCCTGGGCCAGAACGAGGTGGTTCTTTCCCACGGAAAGGCTAGCTTCATGAAACAGGAGAAAGTTGCAAAGCTGCTTCGAGAAGGCTGGGAACTTGGGGCTGGACTGAGCCCTGCCGTGGATCTCACTAGTACGGTTTGATTTTGGGATCTTCCCACAGCCATGCTATCAATAGTTGGGGTTGAATTCAACAAAGTAGCTCACACAAGTTGACATCCAGAAATCATTATTGTGTGAGGAGTATTCAGCCTATTCCCAAGCACCCAGTTTCAGATGTTTGAGTTGGTGGCCAGCAGATTTGTAACTCAAAGCGTTGGCCCCTGTCTCTCCTCCACGCTTTTGCCATTGCACCATGTCAGGCGCCTTGGAGCAGCTGCTGGCGAGCAGTGGGCTGAAAGCGGACCAGTGTTGCCAAACATGGTTATCACCACTTAGTGCCACTAGGAAGATTTTTAAACAATCATTACCCCAGGATTGCCATACAAAAATCACCATTGAATCATTTTCAGGTCATGTTGTCCCTATTATTATTTTATGGGCCCACACTCCTGTGATTATCTAGTATGTGATTCTCTTGTTACTGCAAACTACCACACGTTTGATCCAGAACCTTCCAGAACCTTCCAGAACCTTTCATTTGGATACACTCTTGGCTTTCCTTTGGCAGGACTTGGAAAAGATGTGTGATGGGAGCCCTGGCTTCTTGACTACACCACCTCCAAGATCCACGGCCTATCCAGTCTCAGGGAGCTCCAGTTCTGCCATGACACCTAAAGCTTTGCCTTTCAACACTGGTTCTTCTCGGGATCCCCTCCTGACTGAAGAGCAAAAAAAAGACTTGGCAAAGAACATGGAGAAAGCAAAGGAAAAGTTGAAGGATGACAAGGCTGCAGCCAAAAAAGCTGTGGCTTCTTTGCGGGGAAACATGAGCAAGCCAGCGAAGAGCAGTGAAGCAAAGTCTTCTGCTGCCGATTCTCGTGGTAGGGGTCGGGGCAAAGGGCGTGGGCGTGGTCGGGGCCGAAAGGCTACTACCGAACCTGAGACAGATGGGGAGTTGGAAGAGGAGATCGACGCCGTTGACTCGGAGATGGAGAAGGAAATCGAGACCCTTCAGGAGGTTGACGTTGACCTGGTGGAGTCCCCGCCTTCTGAGCATGATTCGATCCTGACGGCTGACACTTTGGAATTGGGGGATGAACCACCAGAGACAGTTCCCAAAAGGAAGAGAGAACGTTCTTCTGGGCCTGTTGCAAAGAAGCCAAGCACCAGGGCCACCAGTTCCAAGAAAGATGAAGCCATGAAGGGCAAGATGAAAGTGAATCAGAAACAGAAGAAGGGCACTGAGATCAAAGCAAAGGCTGCAGCACCTGAGAAGAAGAAGAGCAAGGCTGCAAAGAAGAAAGAAAAGAAGGGTGGAGATGCTAGCAAAGGATCTTTTGACGGCAACTTGAACAAAGAGATGCACCAGTTCATCAAGGCGGAGTCGATCAGGTTCAAAGCGGAGGGCATGTCGCCGAAGGAAGCTCTTGCTGCAGCTCGCAAAGCGTGCCTAGGTTTTGAATGATAAACTCAGCTTGGGTTCTTGCTGATTATCCCTGTCTGTGTTTCACCCCTGGCCCAGTACCAATTTGGTCTCCACTTTAGCTTGTTCGGTTTCCCACTCACCCACTTCCCTGTAACTAAGCCTCTTACCTTGTTAAACCATCTTGGATTCCGAATCCAGCACTCATTATTCTGAGGTGGAAGTCTTGTCCCGTGCGCATGGATGCCTACCAAAAGATGACCAAGAGTGAGCGCTCTCGCCGCCGCATGAAGTGAGAGGGGGTTTACGAACTTCACTGCTGTGCTTTGGGTGTGGTCCATCCTCTTCACAAACCTGAAGTATTTAACTTGCCTTTCGTTGTTTTTAGGAAAGGACCCTCAGCCTTAGTGAAGCACGCAGTGGCTTTGAGACCTAGTTATTCCAGTTCTTGCAGGGTTCAATCTTGAACTCAGCGCTGTTTTGTCTCAGGCTGTCGCGCATCCAGTTTGGACCAAGTTTGCACTCCAAACTTGGCAGTATTAGGGATTAGGATGTGGCAGCTGCAAACCTGGGGAGAAAAATAGAAAACCTACTTTTGGCGTACTTCGACCACAGTAATACCCCAAAGAAAGAGATCATCCTTTAACAGTACCCAGCGGGCATGAACTCACTGGTTTCATTTAGTTTCCTTTCAGATTCTCAACAGTTTCACAATTTTGATGTTCCATCAGTTCCATCATTAATTCCATGTACCATCCTACCTGTTGTGCAGGTGGGACCCTCGACAACACTTGCTCTTTCGAGCTTCGCAGTGACCAGGACACTGTGGTGCTGGAAATTCAGGCTGAAGGAACGAAAACAATGAAGGATTCAGACCCCACCAGCCTCAAAGCCCTCCTTATGCAAATGGAAGAAGCAGGGATTGTGGATTGCACAGTTTGCTGCCATGAAGTTACTGCGGTTTCTCCAATGGAAGGAGGCCACTGGACCAACATTTACCAAAACCACTAGCCAAGTCTAAAGGTTTAATGGTCTTCCTGACCCTCATCACCAACTATATTATGATGTAGTGTTGGGGTATTAGGATGTAACATGACTTTACTCTCTGTCCTGTGCCCATCTAGGTGACGACTCTCGTGATGGATTCCATGTCAAGCCGAAAGAGAAAAAAGTGACTCTCCAGTGGAATCCCATGGGATCCAACCTCAAGAGCTCCAATATTGCCAGTTCTTTCCCCAATGATGCCCCTTGACTAAAGATATGTGGGTATATATATATATATTGTTTTGTACTTTACATAACTGACAATGATGATTCATAATTGGTGTCACTACTGGTGTGGCCATGGACCCTCAACCCAGGTTCTGATGGCGAGCCGTACCGTCAAACGAGCTTGGCGGGTGGGCTACAACGATGCCGATAACGAGATCGCTCCCCGGAAACCCTTATACTTTTGGAGGGAACACTTCCATGGGCTTGAAATGGGCCAAAATTCATGTTTGAGATTGATCTGAACAGATCATGGAGGTTGATCTAAAAAGGTCACCGCTTTTGACTCAGAACCTTGGACCTTAGGGCTGGGGAAGCCATGGTCTTCAGGGACACTCGCATCCGAAGCAAGGCGAAAAATTGAGCACCGCACACATGATCCAGGTGCTCGCCCTTCTTGAGCCAGGTTTTTGGCGCTGGTGTGGGCCAATGTGGACATAGATTTCCATCAGCAAAACCATTATAGAATGTGACATGATGATGATGATGATGCTGATGATGATGTTTGATTATATATTATCAATAATATTGGACATCATATTTAGCAATCATATATAAATGGTTTAGTTCAGCTTATCTTTTTAATGGGTGTTCATATATATCATTTATTTTCATCCAGTGGGTGAGCCACAGGATTTTCCCGTTCTCCGCTGTAATCATCATGGATTTGGGGAGATGCACCAAGATCCCCAACAGCCGAATGTCATGAAACCACAGCCGAATGAAAGGAAATGACCATACTAATATATACTAATATATACTAATATATACTAATATATACTAATATATACTAATATATACTAATATATACTAATATATACTAATGTATACTATATAATATATACTAATATATACTAATATATACTAATATATACTAATGTATACTATATAATATATACTAATATATACTAATATATACTAATATATACTAATGTATACTATATAATATATACTAATATATACTAACATATACTAATATATACTAATACATACTAATATATACTAATATATACTGATATATACTAATATATACTAATGTATACTAATATATACTAATATATACTAATATATACTAATATATACTAATATATACTAATATATACTAATGTATACTATATAATATATACTAATACATACTAATATATACTAATATATACTGATATATACTAATATATACTAATGTATACTAATATATACTAATATATACTAATATATACTAATATATACTAATATATACTAATATATACTAATATATACTAATGTATACTATATAATATATACTAATATATACTAATGTATACTATATAATATATACTAATATATACTAATATATACTAATATATACTCATATATATACTAATACATACTAATATATACTAATATATACTGATATATACTAATATATACTAATGTATACTAATATATACTAATATATACTAATATATACTAATATATACTAATATATACTAATATATACTAATATATACTAATGTATACTATATAATATATACTAATATATACTAATGTATACTATATAATATATACTAATATATACTAATATATACTAATGTATACTATATAATATATACTAATATATACTAATATATATGTGAGAGGATCCAAATCCCTCTCAGCACTGGCAGCTTCCACTATTGTCCCTTGACCTCAAGGGAAAAGATCAACCAAGATAGTTCCAAAAGTGAAGATGGTAAGGTTGTCCTCAACCAAATAGTCAAACCAAATTGGAGTTACACCGAACCCACAAGCCTATGGCGGACCTCACGCGCACTTTTCCCCAAGTCCTGGAATGGTGGCCCTTGAGCCAGTTCGGCATGAAGATCGTGAACGTTTGTTCACTGCATCTGGAAACCCCTGCAGACATGGATAATCGAATGGTCACCTAATGCAGTTTCCTGGAAATCACACTGGTCTCTATCTTAAAATTCGATTATGTAACCATGTTACCCCAAACTTCCTATTGGCATTTTGCCGTAAGGTCATATCTTCATCATAGATACGGAATTTTCCCAATTGCATGACTTTTCTAAGAAAGGTAGCATCCATGGTTTTGGTCAAGCAGTCCGCTAACATGATGGCTGTGGAAATCCATCGACAGGCGGTATGGTCTCGCGACTGCTCTTTCAGAAGCATCACCTCTATGGTTGTCCTCCATTCTTGGCAGTTGGGGACAGCTGTCTTGGTTATTAGATCATACAAAGATTTACAATCAGTGATCATGAGTCCTTGGTGCTCCTGTTTAAGCGATGTCTCCGGTTGAGACCAAACAAAGTAGGGATTCTTTATGTACCCCCACATACAACGTATCCATGTCAATTTATCCAGGGAGCTT